CACACACGCGCACACACGCACACACACGGTACTTGTCAACTCAACACGGGACCCCGTCTGAAGCAGGACAGGTATGAAGGATACGTGTGGTCTCTGAGTGGAAAAGAATGTCAAAAATAAACTCGGCAGATCTGGACGGTGCTTCCCTTCCTCATCCACACCCCCCCACCCATCCTCATCCTAGTGGCGGCTGTTGCTATGACAACCTGTCCAGGAAGTTGGCCCGCGCTCCTTCCTTCTGGAGCAGGAAGTCTGGAGCGGTGCTCGTGCTGCCTCAGAAAACCCCTGAAGGCCTCCTCCCGACCCCCCACCCCGTACCCGCTCCGGTACCCCTCCTCAGCCCAGTTTCTTAACTCCCTTCCCCACCCCCACACCTACCTCCTCTAACTCATCCTTGGCATCCAAACTGGTTGAAAGTAGCAGCCTCCCCCCTCCTGGGGCTCCTGCTCCCGCTCCTCCTCCACCTCCCGCTGCTCCCGAAGCAGCTGCTGCTGCTGCCCCCTTTCCCTTCTGTAACTCCATGGCTGTGGCCAAGAGACGGGAGGAGGCCAGGGGGTGGACGGGCAGGAAGTCCTAGAAATTACGAACTCCGGGTGCCAGAGCCTGGGGGCAAGAGGGACGAGTGGGGTCGGGAAGGGTCCCCGTGCTGTCCGCCCCGCCCTCCTCTCCGAAAGGCCGCTCCTGTGGAGGACGCGAAGGCGGACGGCCCTCTAGGTCCCGTGTCTGGAGTGGCAGTGCTGAGGGAAGGCCGCCAGCTCCCGGGTGTGCTGGGGTGAGGGTCTGCACCTCCGGGGAAGGCAGGAGAGGCCCTGAAGTGGAAGGGGAGCCCTTTCTGGCTTCTGACGCTAAGAGAGGCAGAGAAAATCCTAAGTTTCTGCCTCAGGAGGTGAGGGAAAGAGGAGTCCTGCCCCTGAGGTAGGGGGTAGGAAACCTTTCTGGCTGGGGCCCGAAGGGCTGGGGAGCGAGGTTCCTTTGGATCCGGCCCCTAGGGGTGAGGGTGAGGCAGTGAGCGCTACAGGAGGACACGGAGGACCAGCTTCTCCCCACACCACACACAGGCGGCCATGGTGGAAGGGCGGGGGGCGGGGAGGCTGAGGGCGGCGGCGGCGGCGGCAGCGGGGAGGACTCGCGGAGACCGGAAGCGAGCGGCCTCCGGCCCGGCCTCCGCCAATCGCGGCTTCCGCGGTGGCGCGGAGCCTCTCAGGGGCAGGGCGACGGCGGCCGACCGGCCTTTTCCCCGGCTGCCAATGGCAGTGAGACCGGCCTGATGGACAACCAGAGTGACCAATCGCATCCCCCGTTCCTCTCGGGGGGCGGGACGGGAAGACTTCTCGGAGAGGGGTGGGAGCGCGAGGCGATCAGGAAGGGGAGGCTGCGCCTGCGCGCGCTGACGGGCTTGCCCTGGCGCGCGTGCGCGGCGCTAGCCTCCGTCTTCCTTCCCCCTCCTTGTGGAGCGTGGGTGGGTGCGAGAGCTTTTGCCGCGTCCCCACCTGGCCTAGGAGAGCGGAGGCCTTGCGCGAGCTGACCGTACAAGGCGGGGAGCGTTGCCTAACCCTCGCCGTCCCAGGACAGAGACCGTCAGGTGGCACGGAGCCAGCTCCCAGAGCTGAGCGTGCATCGCACAAGTAAGCGTGTGCTCACGCGAGTGCCGTCAGCTGCGGCAAAAAACAGTGCATGGACCCACTCGGGCAGTCCAGATCCCTAGAGTCGTGCCCGCACTAGCCGGGTTGCTGAGTGACAGAACCATCTCCATCCTTGTGCTGAGGCTCTGGGTCTGACCCCTGTCGCTGAAGTCGTCTCTTACCCACAGCCCAGGGAGGCCCGGCGCGTGTATTGTGAGCGCGGTGTATCCCTGAGTGCACTTCTGCTTCCTGGCCCGACAGCGTTTTCCATTTCCTCAGGGTGTGAGATTACTTTTATTTTTATTTTTTTTTAAAGATTTTATTTATTTATTTGAGAGAGAGAGAATGAGAGAGAGCGAGTACATGAGAGGGGGGAGGGTCAGAGGGAGAAGCAGACTCCCTGCTGAGCAGGGAGCCCGATGCGGGACTCGATCCAGGGACTCCATCCAGGGACTCCAGGATCATGACCTGAGCCGAAGGCAGCCGCTTAACCAACTGAGCCACCCAGGCACCCCTTGATCTCAGGTTCTTAAGTTAAAGCCCATGTTGGGTGTAGGGATTACTTAAAAATAAAATCTTAAAAAAGCAAAACAAAAAATATATATGATAGTAGGAAAGCATACCTCCCTTTCTCCAATACTTTAGTCAGAAAATAAGCTCTAATTTTATACACATTTTTTTAAATTAAGTAAGCTCTACACCCAACGTGGGGCTTGAACTTAGAACCCCAAGATCAAGAGTCACATCCTCCACGGACTGAGCCAGCCAGGTGCCCCTTTTTTTTACTTTTTTTTCCCTTCTTATATACATATGAATAAAATGAAACTTATCAAGAGCTTGCTACATGCCCTGCATCATTCCAATACTTCATGTTTTAATTCATTACACCTTGATTTAAGTAGTATTGTCTTCTCCACTTTACAGATAATAAAACTGAGGCACAGAGAAGTTGTTGGTTGTTGTGGGGTTTTTTTTAAGATTTTATTTATTGGGGTGCCTGGGTGGCTCAGTTGGTTAAGCATCTGCCTTCGGCTCGGGTCATGATCTCCGGGTTCTGGGATCAAGCCCCACATCGGGCTCCCCGCTCAGTGGCGAGTCTGCTTCTCCCTCTCCATCTGTGATCTCTCTTGCTCTCACTCTCTCTGATAAATAAATAAAATATTTATCACAAGTAGGTGAGCAGCAGGCAGAGAGGCAGGGGAAGCAGGCTCCCTGCTGATCAGAGAGCCCAATGGATGTGGGGCTCATCAGGACCGTGACCTGAGCTGAAGGCAGATGCTTAACCGACTGAGCCCCCCAGGCGCCCCCACAGAGATGTTTAATAATTTGTACAGGTCATATGGTTTAGGAAATGTAGGACTTAGGAAATGTAGAACTGAATTGTGTCCCTCCAAATTCATATGTGGAAGCCCCCAGTGTGCTGGTATTTAGAGACCAGACCTCTGGGAGGTAATTAGATTTAAATGAGGTCATGAGGGTAGGGCCCTCATGATGGGATTAGTGCCCTTATAAAAGGGCCCTCCCTTACTACACAACAGGTACACAAAGAAGAGGTCATGTGAGCTCAGGCAGCAAAATGGTGATAAGTGCAAGCCTCCGAATGAACCCTACATTGCCTGCGCTCTGATCTCAGACTTCCCAGCCTCCAGAACTGAGACATTTCTGTTGTTTAAGCTACCAGGTCTATAGTGTTTTGTTGCAGTAGCCTGAGCAAACTAATATAGCCAGGATCTGAACCCAAGGAGCCCCAGGGCAAGCACACTTTACCCCTACATCGTACTGCCACTTTGTTAATACAAAGTGGAAAAATGGAGTGATTTGGAAATTTCTAACTTACAATTCTACCTTTTTTTTTTTTTTTAACTTACTAAAGTAGGGGCGCCTGGTGGCTCAGAGATAGGAATACTCTCCTATCAACTAAGCAGACTTATCCAGCATTATTACGGGCACGGGGTTAGAGACTGTGTGAACATACCCTAAATTCTGAGCCCTGGAAGCATGTAGTTAGTACAGGAGAAACAAGGTTTGAAATATACAGAGCCAGAAACTAGTATACGGAAAATCCTTCCAATCATCAGATTTGTGAAATTGCAAAGGGAGGATTTGACTGTCACTGATGCCTCGTCAAAACTGAAGGTCTTGGGGCACGGGGGTGGCTCAGTTGGTTAGGCATCTGCCTTTGGCTCAGGTCATGAACTCGGGGTCTTGGGATCGAGCCCCATATCAGGCTCCCTGCCTGGTGCGGAGTCTGCTGCTCCCTCTCCCTCTGCCCCTCCCCCTCTTTGTGCTCTCTCTCACTCTCAAATGGATAAATAAAATCTCAGGGCGCCTGGGTGGCTCAGTCGTTAAGTGTCTGCCTTCAGCTCAGGTCATGATCCTAGGGTCCTGGGATCGAGCCCTGCATCGAGCCCTGCATCGGGCTCCCTGCTCCGCGGGAAGCCTGCTTCTCCCTCTCCCACTCCCCCTACTTGTGTTCCCTCTCTCGCTGTGTCTCTCTATGTCAAATAAATAAATAAATCTTAAAAAAAAAAAAAGTTGGGAATTTTCTGGAGGAATATTACTATCACAAGTCCTTGTCAACGGCTACAGTTGATAAGGAAGTTTAATTTTACCTGCATTTCCTTTTACCTTTGTTTTCCACATCACTATGGAGGGGAGGGTGATGTTAGGGCCCAGGAAATTAAGTCTATGGATCTCTGGAAGTTAGGCTATCAATAAGAATGCTTTTTCCTTGTAAATCACTAAGACATTTGTAAACTGAGGGAGACTCATGTCCTGCAGGACTGTGATCTTTATCAGTTAACCATTTGTTTTTCCTTTCCCCCAGTTTTAGGGCATCCAGGAGGGCCTGAGGAATGTCACAAGTATCCCACAGTGGTGGTGGTGGGGGGGGGGTGCAGGGTGTTAGCTTGTGCTTTGTCCTCAGCTTGCCTTCTGCTCCCTCATCACTTGGGTGGTTTTTTAATTAAGCACCATGTAAATGTAGTACTTCTTTAAAAATACCTTACTCAAAAATACCTGGCTGACTCAGTCGGAAGTGCATGCAACTATTGGTCTCAGGGTCATGAGTTTGAGCCCCATGTTGAGTGTAGAGATTAAATTTTTTAAAAGCGGGCGCCTGGGTGGCTCAGATGGTTAAGCGTCTGCTTTCGGCTCAGGTCATGATCCCAGGGTCCTGAGATCGAGCCCCGCATCAGGCTCCTGCTCAGCGGGGGGCCTGCTTCTCCCCCTCCCTCTGCTTCTCCCCCTGCTC